CTCTCTGCCCAGGGCTGAGAATGAGCAGCAGCTGCGCCCCAGGGGTGTCAGCAGGGCAGGCCCACAGCGCCCCCTGCTGCCTGAGGACCAGGGGCACTTACAGGAAGGGGACCCTGGAGAGAGACAACTGCACCCCACACTCCCTCCTCACAGACAGGGCGCTCGTTACTGCCCCCCGAGCCTCCCCTTCAGGCTGCAGCCTCTGTTCCACAGCGAAGGCCTGAGCCCAGGGACGTGGCCTCCATGGGACAGCTGCTTCCTCCGCGTGGATCCCTGTAGAGGGACCCAGGGGCAACCCGAGCTCAGAGAGCACTTGTTCCAGATTCAGAACATCAGAAAGACAAAGGCCAGTGACAGCCCCGCCAAACCAACCCACTTCCCGCTGTGGCAGTGGTGAGGGTGGGCCTTCACCTCATCCTGTGGTTCCTCCCTCTCTGTCAGCCCTGATTGGGGCGGGGGGGGGTGGGGAGACAGCACATGGAGGTCCCCAGGGACAGCGAGCGAGCACTCAGCACGTCTCGTGGGTGTTCCACTCTGGTGGACCTGAGCCCTCCTTGGAACAAGCCAGTTACCTTCAGCCTAAGCTTGGACCCACGGGCTGAGCGAGCCTATAGTTTGGAGGTGCACATCTAGAATCTGGAGACTGGGGGGTAAGCAAGAGTTTTGGGGGCAGGGGGGCCCTGAGGCTTTTCCCGGGGGGAAGCTGGTTCCAGGAACTAACCTAATAATCCACACCGACGCTTCCAGTGCTGGACAGAGTCATCTTCTGAGCGGGAGCCCCAGATGGTGAGGACGGCTGAGTCAGCAGACCATACTCAGGACCATAGAAAATGGGGTGCAGCAACACACCAAGCGCCAGAGGACCAGGAGAGAAAGGACGGCCGTGCGTGAACCCCCAGGACGCTTCCCCGGGACTCAGCAGCAGCCGCTTGCCCACCGAGCGACAGGGATGAGAAAGGCTGTGGGCAGTGAGTAGGCACGGGCCGTCCGCAGACTTTTCTCCCACTTCCCTGCGGGCTTTGCACACAACACAGGCACCAAGCAGATGTTCCACAATGAGAGGTCACCATCAGCCTCATCTCCAGACTAGAGCCCAGGGAGGGACAGCCAGGCTGCCTGCCCTGGAGCCCGGGAATCCCTCTGAGATCCCCAGGAGTCTGTGTAGTTCTGTGGGTCAGGAGTTCGGGAACACGGCCCGGGGCTTGCTGCAGCCAAGCTGCTCCCTGGTTGCCAACACGGCTGCTGTTTTCAGGGCAGGCGATGGTGGCCGTCTGTCCTAGGCTCTTGGACACCAGGGGAGGCTGAGGCAGCCCTGCTGGGGGCCAAAGACCGTGGCAGGGGCGGGACAGGGAGCACTAAGAGCCGGGTGAGTGAGGGAGGGGAGCTGAGGGGTCCCCCACGGATCTTCCACCCCGGGCAGGTCAGGTGTCAGCAGGGCACAGAGTAAGGAGGACGATGGGGAGAGGCACACGGGACACAGTGCAGGTGCTTGAGTTCTGTCCTCTGAGACTCCAGCAGGGGCTCTCCGGGGTCGTCCTTATTCTCTCCCTAAGGACCTATGGAGGGAGGGGTTTCTCCATTTAAATCTGTCCTTGATCCCTGACACTCCTGGGCAAGGTCTCTGTGGCAGAATAATGCCTCCCTCAGCTCCCACAAAGATGATCATGTTCGAATCCTTGGCATCTGCCCAGATGTTGCCTTATATGGCGAAGGGTCATTAAAGGGGCAGATGGGGATGTGAGCAATGTGGCTGCGACGTCTGTCACCCCACTGATCAGCAGGGTTGATTCCACTGATCTAGCAGGCTGGGCAGGTGTCCCCCTCCTCCCTCCCTGCTCCATGTGGGTCCCTCCTGACCCTGCGTGCTCGGTGGAAGAGGACAACCTTCCCCCATAGAGGAGGAGCTTTTTTAGGCCAAGGGTACATGAGCAGCTGCGCTCCCCTGCTAGGATCTCCAAACTAGATCTCAAGATCCCTTTGTAGGAGAACACAGGACAAACTTCCAAGGCTCCAGACACAGCCAAATGAGGCACTTCATGTGGCAGTCTGCCTTTCTAGAAGAGAAGAGAAGACTAAAAGAGAAGATTAAAAGAGAAGAGGAGGGGCGCCTGGGTGGCTCGGTCGAAAGCGTCTGCCTTCAGCTCAGGTCATGATCCCGGGATCCTGGGATTGAGGCCCGCATCAGGCTCCCTGCTCGGCGGGAAGCCTGCTTCTCCCTCTCCCACTCCCCTACTTGTGTTCCCTCTCTCGCTGTGTCTCTGTCAAATAAATAAATAAAATCTTGAAAAAATAAAAAATAAAAAGGAATAGAGAAGGAAAGAGAAGATTAATGAATCGTTGAACACTACATCAAAAACTAATGATGTCTTATATGTTGGCTAATTGAACATAATAAAAAAATAAAAGTTTAAAAAAGGGAAGACTAAAAGAGGAAAAGAAAAAAAATAAAATTGCAGAGGGAACTAAGTTTGCCAATCCCCTAACGAAATAGGGAGATGATCCTGGATTATCCAAGTGGTCCCAGTATCATCACAAGGGTCATTACTAGTAGAAGTGGGCAAAGAAGGGCCAGCGTTAGAAAGGATAGGAGAAGGAATTAATCAGCCATTGCTGGCTTTGAAGGAGAAAGGGGCCCTGGGGCAAGGAACACAGCCAACCTCTGGAAGCCGGAAAACGCAAGGAGACGCCTTCTCTGGCAGCGCCCGCAGAAAGGAACACGCTGCTGACCTGTTTTAGCCCACGCCAGACCTCTAACCTACAAAACGACGATACTGCATTTGTGGGGCCTGAAGGCTCTAGGTTTGTGGTAATCAGCTACAGCAGCAATAGGGAACGGATCCAGGAACCCCCACATCGTCAGCCTGAAGAAGGATCACCGTCACTTCAACAATGAAGGACACTTACAAAGAATCTACAGTTAACCTAACAGTGATGGAAGACAAGATGATGTCCAACGGCAGTTGGTACCGATCCTAACAGAGCAATCTCTCTAGATTTCCTTCTGCGGCATACCGTGCTATGTTCCTCTGGGCCTCGCCGCATCTTCCGTGCTGCTCAGTATCCTCTTCTGACCATACCCTGCTCTCTGATACACATACTCACTATTCCCAGAGTCGGGAAGTTCATTTTTCTTACATATTTCATTGCTAGTTAGGCCAAATCCATTCCTGAAAGACCTTTAACTAGTCCCTCAGCACCTACTCAGCAATGTGAAACTAGGCACTGTGATACTTTGTAGAAATGTGGTTTACGAGCCTTTGGGAAGGTAAGGCTTTCTCCTGGAAATGTTGACTACCAGCCTCCTTCGCCGAATTTATGAAGCACAGGTAGGCTAATAAATTCAGATAGTGCCTGAGTCACGAAAACATTGCCATGTATCTTAGAAAACCAACAATTTTTTTCTAGCCGGTAGATTAAGAAACTTAAGACCAGAGTATGTTTCTAAAATAACAAGACCTGATTCAATGATTTTAATATGCATATCTTTATTGGATCACATCATTTTAAATTTATAAGTCTAGAAGTTTTTCTATAGTGTTATAAATGATTTTGATTGTACATATGGGAGATGTTCAGAAAGTTTTAATAACTACTTTGGATTTGTTCCTTCCTGCTTTTTTTTTTTTAATAGATGTCTAGAAATGTATTATCATAAGTCAAATTCTAGCATCAGAAAAGAACATGTTGCCTTAATTTATCTTTAATGATGGACCCATCCTCTGTATTCTACTCATCATTATGGGCAGTCCTGCTAGGTAAGATGTTACCTGGAGTACAAGGCATTTTTAAGTGACTTGTTTTAATTTTATTTCTTGTAAGACTGGTTCAAGTTGTAAACCTAAACTGATTAACTTAGAACCAAAGCAATTCTATTGTTTTAACCATACCCTTTTTGGTATGCCTGAAGCTAATCTACTCCCTACCATCGGCCAAAATACTATTTTATTTAGGAGTATAAGAAAACAGAAAGTTTTAAGTCTTGTTTCCTGAATCTATTTCAAGATAGTTTCAAGGGGAGAGAAAACAATGTTTTCAGGAGAAACATAATAGCTTCATTTTAACCAATTACTCAAGACTGCTGATTAGGGCCCCGCTCACAGTGTCCTCCCCCTTGGAGCACGCACAAGAGAACACATGAAAAGGCAGCGCTCATCGAGCTCTGTGTTTTCCTTCTTTGTGGAAAAAGGGACACAACAACTTCAATGTTCCAAGAGCTGCCAACTCCTAAACCACAAGGCTCTCCTTATTACAGCTCCAAAGTTACGTTCCGATTTCCACCCGTCTGAAGAGTCATCAATACTACATACATAGGTTCTTTCCTATAAAACTTTAAATAACACAAAGAAATTCCATTTAATTTTGACATTTTGAGAGCTTTGCTGTCCTTTAAAAAATAAAAGGTTTCAAAAAGATATCATTTTCCAAGCAGAGTCTACTTGTTCATGAGACTAATGCCCAATCTCGATGATGCATAGTGTCGCCTGCTCAGAAATGCCAAGTGTTCAGGCGTGGCCAATCATAAAGTCACTAATCCACTTCAAAGGTGAGTTGCAAGACACAAACCTCATGGTCTGTTCTCCTGCCCGGAAAACAGAAGCAGCATGTTCAGTCAGTGGTCGTCCCGACAAAAGGGCACACCACTTGGAACCTCCATGTCCTGTCCAGAATGATTAGAATTTAAAACTATGCATCTTGGGGCACCTGGGTGGCTCAGTCAGTTGAGCGTCCAACATTTGATTTAGGCTCAGGTCAGAATCACGGGGTCATGAGCCCATATCGGGCTCCGTGCTGAGAGTGGAGCCTGCTTGGGATTCTCTCTCCCCCTCACTCTCTCTGCCTCTCCTAGCTCATTCTCTCTCTCTCTCTCTCTCCCCCCAAATATATATATCTGTGTCTTCGAACTACGCATCTAAGAGTATTTCAGAAGTGCAGCTTAAAAAGAAAAAAAATAAATTTACAAATGCTGGTTTTCAACACGTCATCAGGCTGTCTTCTGCCAGTCACAGGTAGAAGAGACGGTTTGCCAGGGAATGGTGTGGTTCCTGGTGAATACTCTGGCCCACAAGGTAAGCCAGTTTGTGGGCATAGTGACAAGGAGCAGGAACTCGAATGACACCCTTTAGCAGAAAGAAGAACAACAATTTTTCTAAACTTTCTATCTAAATTTAACCTTTCAGAGGTACCATTTCAGAAGGTTCAAAAAGTATAGCTTCAATTTTGGACAATCGTACAGATCTAAAGGAAAATGCATATAAAAAATACTTACTGGCAGATTATAATACATGTGGCATAGTCTGTAGGTGAGACACTGGATCCTATCTGGAGTGAAGCGAACCGTGTCGTGGATGACATTATAATGAGTGGGAGTGACAGTACCATCTTTCACGGACTGACTCACGATAAAGAAATCATACCTGGAAATGCAGAACACACGACTGTAGGCTACAGCTTATTTTCAGAAGAAAAAGAACTTAGCGGGGCGCCTGGGTGGCTCAGTCGTTAAGCGTCTGCCTTCGGCTCAGGTCATGATCCCGGGGT